AGGTGACTTGGACTTTTGCCTTGAATTTGAATTTGAAATTCAAAACCTCAAAAGCCACGCTGCGTCCCAATAATATGATATGCAGCCGCAACGTCATTCGGAAAACTCCGAACCGAAAGCGAGGTTTCACCGCAGGTCTCTGGGTGGCTCAGCTGGGATTTCCAAGTGGGCAGATAGGATAGGAAACTACACGGCAGCCCAACAAAAGGTAAAAGTTGGCCAGAGAGTTGGCAATTGGGGCTTAATGGTTAGTCCCGCCCAAAAGGCACTCCGGCCCCGCGCCCACCCTGCCAGGGACCTGTGCACTGCTCATTGCTATGCAAATTGCTGTATTTTTCTTTAATTTTATTTTCAAGCACAAGTTTGCACACCCCCCCAGACCCGCCTGCCATTCCATACCTTTCCCGGTTCACCGAGGGTGGCCTCGCCCTTGCGTTGACTAAGTAATGCTATTATGTGTGCTTGACCATACGGGTATTCAGGGGTCTGCTTTGCATGCGGAACTGGGCACTGGAAGCAGGGATGGGAATGGGTATTTGGGACTGGGGAATGGGAGCCACAAGCAAAGCCCGAGCAGGTAATTGAGGCGCTTAGCAGCAGCCGTGAAATCAGACTGGCACAGGACCTCTTGGGCGGATTATTAGCCAGAGCTGTGGCATCAATCAGCTGGGACGACGACGGGTGTGAGGGAGCTCCGGAATGCGGCAGTGTGGACTGTAATCGTGGGCTTACAAGCTCATCCAACCAAATTGTCAGATTTTGAGCTTGCCCACATTCCAATGTAAGTTTTCACCTATTGTTTAGTTTACCAAAGGGGATTCATTGCCTGCCCTATGTTCCTAATCTTTTCCAGATCAGAATGTAGTTTAAGACTATTATTAGAGAATTTAATTTATCATTTTTATAAACCAATGCAGTTAGTGGTTTCCTTATTATTGTTGATTTTATTCTTATTTTTAGAGCTCTATTCCGAGAAAATCAAAATAATCCGATAACTACTCTGATTATTTGAGAGCCTTAAATTAATTAAACCCTTCTATCTTGGCCATAAATCATAAAAACCATAAATGGGAACTGATCTGATAGCACCTCGCATTGGAAGAGCACTTGTTGGACAAGTGTTGGCACAGCAACAAATATAGCCAGGCTGACCACACTCAGCCCAAGTTTGCCCTTCCGGCTGGGCCCACGCCCAGATGGCTTTGACCATGGCACGTCTGGTGGCCACAGCGTTGGCCGAGTTGTCTGCCGACCAGACTGGGTCTCCTCCGCCGCCGCTCACTTGATAGTTTTGCAAAATCAATAGCCCCTTCGCGGGGATTAGGCCTGTCGGTTAACAATGAGCAGCGGCGACGTGGTCGTTGCCATTGAAATCAAACGGCGGAAGTGGTTCAGGCATCGGCAATACAACGAAATTAGCATTGAATGCCAGGGCAACCGAGCCGGCGAAGAGGCGGGGAAGGGACCAAGTTCTGAGCTCGGCGGTTTAATAGCTGTCATATGGGGGAAATGAGGTCTTGGCGCACACGCACACCCACGGCACAGCTGTGCCATTTGCCATTCCTGTGTGTGTGGCGGATATAATTTAGCGTTCAATCGAATCGGAAATGGAGGTGGAAGCGCGTACACACACACACAAAGTATCTCGGAATCCTTTTTCGGTGGCAATTTGCGGGCAATTTTTCAAATTAGTCAGCCCAGCGATGACGCATGTCTTTTAATGATTTTAATTACTATTTGATGGGTGCACGGAAAATTGGTATTGCAAATATGCAATTACAGTACAGGCACATAGTCCATAGTACAGTTACACCACAGAGGAGGAGTCTGCGCCCAATCTCTCTAATGGCTCCACCGCACGACCCAAAACGTGGCAATTTGCACATTTCTACTCCCAGCTCCAAGGACTCCAAACTTTTGGCGTGCGCACGCAACAGAGCAAGCCGTCAAGAAGTCGGACGAGCTACCCGGTGGAGCCACTCCCGCCGCATCAGAGCCCTGATGAGTTTCAAACTGCGAGTTACGAGGGCGATGATGGGAGCCCGCCACACGTAACCCAGTTAAGAATTTCCCCGGCAAAGTCGCCTTAATTCAATTTGCAGTTTGCGTTCGCATAATAAACTCGAGTGCAGGCGAATGCAAATGCCGCTTGCTGGCTGGATTTAATGAGCTTCAAACTTAATTGTTATTGCCAGGCGGCATGGCATCCCCCCATCCTTCGATCCTACTTGCTGCACATGGTGTGCCCCTCGCCCAAGCAGGACGCGTAGGCCATCAGGTGGGGAATGGTGCTCTGCTCGTAGACCCCGGTGAAGAGGTGCGACCAGGGACCCAAAGCGTAAACAGGCACATCGTCGCCGCCATGGGAGTCCATGTGGATAGGCACTCCCGAGGGGAACTCGTCGTCGTGGGCTCCGGTTATCACCGTTGTGGGATCCTTGCGCTCCTTGGTCTCCGTGTTGTAGAAGTTCTCGTAGCTGGGCCCGTTAGCGTAGCTCAGGACCATGTAGGGCTGGCCATCCAGCCCCGTTACTGGAGCCTTGCCAAAGACATCCTCGCCACGGTACTAAGAGATTGCAAATAGAAACATTCAACAATTAAAACTCGAAAGTCAAACATATTTAGGCTAGACATATCTTAAATGGAAAATCAAGAGGCAAAGGACATACCGCATATCCTGCATAGGTGAACACGTGCGAGTGATCGGCGGTGACCACCAGTAGGGTGTCGTCCTCGCTGGTCAGCTCCTGGGCGGCGGCAATGGCCTTGGAGAACTCGACAGTCTCGTTGAGCGCCATGCGCGCCTGGTTGATGTGGTGGGCCTGGTCGATGCGGCCGCCCTCGATGAAGAGGAAGTAACCCTGCTCGCTCTGTTGCATATACTCGATGGCCTTGCGGGTCATCTGCTCCAGAGTGGGCTGGCTGCTCTCCGGCGTGGTCTCCATCATATACTGCAGGTGGTCGTCGTTGAAGAGACCCATCAGGCGATCGGTCGTTGTCACATCCACGGCCTCCAGCTCAGCGGCGGTGGTCACGTAGACGTTTTTGTCGCTGGCCGCCTTGAACTCGTCGATAAGGTTCAGACCGTCGGTCCGCTTGCCCCAGGACTCCAAGCTGGAGTCAACGAAATGCTTGCGTCCGCCGCCCATGATCACGCGCAGTTTGCTGCCCACCTCGCCACGGGATAGCTGATAGGCGATATCCTTAATCCCGGAGTCAGCTCCGCAGTCAGTTGTCACCTCTGCATCATTCTCCCAGTCGCGCTCCGCAATGTGGGCGTAGACGCCGGAGGGAGAAGCGTGGGTCACGCGGGTGGTGGTCACCAGACCCGCCCACTTGCCCGCTTCCATGGCCCACTTGGCAATGGAATCCACGTGGGTGGTCTCGTCCAGCATGACCTTGCAGTCGGTGCGGGGCACCTGCCCATTCACACCGATGGTGCCCTCCTGGCCCTTCACGCCGCACAAGTAAGCCGTGGCCGTGCAGGCCGAGTCCGGAACGATCTTATCCACGGAGTAGGTCTTCGAGAGGCCTGTGTAGGGGAAATTTTCGAAAGAGAGCGCCTTTTCCTCGCCACCCAGAAGATTGCGGGCCGAAGCAGTGGTGGTCACGCCCATGCCGTCGCCCAAGAAGAGGATCACGTTCTTGGCCTGGCGCTGGTTCAACTCGGCTGCCAATTTCTGCTGGACGAACTGCACGCCCTTTTCGCGCCAATAGGCGGTGGTGTCCTCGCCCTCGACGGCCCTCATCTTCCTCACTTCCGGCTGCGGTTCCGGCAGATCCGGATGCATTGCCTGCTCCCGACACTGCTCCGGGTTGCGGCCGCACTCCGGGGCCGACCAGATGGGCAGGGCCAGCAGGGCGATGGCGATCAAAATTGCGTTCAGCCAGCGGGACATCTTGCTGAAGACTGACCCTGGTCGACGGCTACTCCGACTTTGGCCTATCGGAGATTCGATTCCGGCCGATTGCGATAAGGGGCGATAAGGCTGAGACGTGTAGATCCCATAAACGGCAAATCGCATCAAATCTAATGCGCCACCTAATTCCCTTAGTCCGGGGCGTGCTTTTATTTACGATGGCCAGCGACAAGTTTTATAGATTTATTGTGCGGGCCTGGTCGGTGGGAGGGCACGTGAGTGGTGGTGGAACTTGTTGCCGAGCTTGTTGGTCATCTCCGATGCGGGCCCAAGGAAAGCCCCGACCATTGGCCATCACGTAATCAGGCTGGAAAATCTGGCGGAGGCACGTGAATGATTTGATGGGCAGTATAACCAGTTACGGGGAGTGTAAGCCATCACATTTTCCCCTTTCGCATTTATTTGGGGCCATAAAAGCCGGGTCATAAACAGGTGACTGTTTTCGCCGAGCGCCTTTGCCTTTTTAATATCAAGCTGAGAAATGCAAAGGCATTGGAGTGGAAGAAAAGCAGCTGCCAACCGCCGGAAAGGTTAAAGTTGAGCTGGCCGTCCGAGGGGCGGGAGTGCCGACCTTGGTTTGCACTTGGCAAACAGAAAATTAGCCAAAGCAAGGGCCAATGAATGAGAATTGCAACTGTCGAGTAGGAAAATCTTTGGGTTTACGCCTTGTTTGCCCACTTGAACTTATCGCTATCGCCCGAATGTTTGGCCATTTCGGATCGAAGGCAAACAAAGTGTCGACTTTATGGCTAAAAATAATAAATTCCTTGAAGCGATTATAATTTGACTCACTCACCGCGCATGAGTGATGCGAATATTTGTGTTTAGGCACACACGGCCCACAGGGCGCATACGTAATATATGTATTTGAGGCAGGGTGGCAATGTCGCAGCCAAAAGCTGCGCACTTAATGCTGCCTAATAAATTCGGAGCTCCGTTTCGAGTGTCAAGATTGCGGCCATTATAGCCGTGGCAAGAGCATTAATCAAACGGCCCAAGGCTCCTGGTTTATGTGCACTCGATTACCCACTTCACACCTCCTTCTCACACTAAGTCTCTGTGCTCTTGATATCTTTGTAGGCAAGTCATCGAACTCTTCATTCTGGAGGAGAGCAGCTACGAGAAGGATGTCAGCTTCAAGGTCTTCATCGGAACACCCGAGTTGGCGCCAGGTGAGTCTTAGAACTAGAGAGAGTTAACAGAACCAAAACCAGAATCAGAACCCCAAACCCAAACCAAGAACCAGAACCCCAAACCCAAACCAGAATCCCTCCAAAAAGTCCCAAGTCCCTGTAACCAGCCCAAACCCACTGACAATGCTAACCAAATTGAGCGAAGCAGCCCAGAGAAAAAGCCCAGCTAGCTGGGCACCGAAGACGGCACGAGTTTTTATCTGTCCTGGTCAGGACTTGAGCCTGCGACACCCGGGACACACCGACCCAGCACTCTCTTTTCCACACCCTCGACCCTTTTTCCCCCACCCACCCTTGATCCCAAGCAACCCTTTTCGAGTCTTTTTCCCGCTTTGACCCCCAAAATATTACAAACAGGTGGAAGAGCCCGGCTCGGCCGAACAGAAAAAAGAGCAAAAACCGAAAACATGAAAACTTTGTAAATTGGAAATTCCAATTTGAAATAAAAAAAAATATTGTTAATTTGGCTTCGTATGTCTTTTCGCATCCCTTCGACTCATGGGTTCTTTTTATACTTTTTGGTCTTTTAATTTGTGTTCTTTATGCTTCTAGATTCCACTCACTACCGTAAGCCTTGAATTGTGCATTAATTAATTTTATTTTAATTGAACACGAAAGCGTAGAACGTGAAACGCGAAACGTTACGTTACGTGAAACGGAAAATGGGAAAAGTAAAATTCCAATGGCGATTGGCCAACACTTTCGGGTTTCGGTTTCCCGAGTTGAAATGGTTGCCAAGTGCAACTTTCAGCTCCTTTTCTTCTTTCCTTCACCGAGTGCGGAAATTGCGGGCAAAAAAGTGCAAATTCATTTTATTCTTTCCTCTTAAAGCCATTCCACGAAGTACAAACAGTAGCGTATTTTGTTTTGGTGTTGTGTACGTTCCCTAGACACCCCGTCCTTTTTATGTTTCTAGTTTAATTTCCGTTTCCTCCTCCCTATCAGTTATTTATCCAGTGGCGATGGGCAAAGAGTCCTTCTTTATGTTCTGTATCAATCGAAGTTAGCCTCTAGTACTCCTCACTCGCATCTTTCTGCCCCATCTAGAGTTCCCGATATCAGTCCCCTCCCAGCACCGGCACCACCACCACATCCCATAGCACCCCAGTAATGTAACCATCTGCCTGTAACCTAAACTTAACCGAGTATTCCATTGTTCACACTTGTCTCTCTAACCCAATCGAACCAATCGCCTCCGTAACTGCCACCAAATGTCACACGATCAATCCAGATGACACTAACAAGGAATCATTTTTCAATCGATTTTTTGGTACGTAAAACAGTTTTTTTTTGTTTGCCATATCTCTCTGCGTATGCGGATCGATCGATCATTTCAAGTGTTCAGTTAATAGTGAATATGCAACAACGACAACAAATAGTGAGGCAGAAAAGTGATGAAGAGAGTATTTGGTCGCCATTTCCATGTTCATAGCTCTTTTTGTTTTGTTAGTTTGATTGGTCATTAACCCACACGTCGTATACATAATCTCCGTTGTATGTGCGTCTTAGTGTCGTATCTGTGTGTTTATGTGTAGGCGTTGCATCTGCATTTATCCCGAAACAATTGCGCTTTTTTCGAAGCAGCAGCCACGCACTTGACAAATGCAAGCTTCTGGCTTTGTGTAAAGTAATCAATCAAGCAAAAAGCAAAAAGCAAACGCAAACCCCAGAGCACGCGGGCAAAATCGGGCCTCGTTCGTCTTCAATTGAAATAAAGTTAGACCAGGGACACAGTTTTTGGTAATGTTTTGGTTATCTCTATGCTCGGCGGACATTTGTAATACGCGCTTGTGCCCGATCCGATCCTCTCACATGTTGTGTGCCTGATTGCCCCGATTGCTGCTCGATTTTGATCTCGATATCGATACCGCACCGATTGCTATCGGTGTCACACTCCAATCAAACATGCCTCTGCATCGCCAAATCGATTTGTAAGTAATACACGTAATCGCTGATTTGTTGTGATCAGAAACCCGATATCCGGCTTTTGTTCTACGTAATTTGTGTTCCTCCATTTTGGCTGTTTCTGTTGAACGTGTATTGTCTGTGTGTTTTAGACTTAAGGCAACATTGTAAGCACTTAAATAAGTATACCCATCGATCGTGACCGGCTACTGATTAAGCCCAATGCCTGCGTCTGTATTGTGCGTTACCTAACCGCCGGCTTTTGTGGCTGTTTAGTAGCGATTAACGATTAAGAACGACCAATTACCCCGACTACAGTAGCAAGACATGTCACCACATCGCATATCCGTTAACTGAATATTTAGAAAGTGATTGTTGAAGCCATTTCCAACATGTTTGAGACCATTTAACAACTATTCTCTGAACTCTACCCCCAAAATCACTCCCCAACGTACTTGTCATGTCGATGTCTATAGAAAAACACGAACACTCTGGAGATCCCACTCGTGAGTCATCAATATCTGGGGCCCTAATGTTAAAACCGTGACCTTTATGCATGTCTTTCGTCCTTTGCCTTAGCCTCTGTCGCTGTCTCTATCCCAGTCTGCTTAATATGCAGTTTATCAATTTCCATTTTCCACTCAATTGCATCCTGATGTCAACTTAGCATAAGCACTTTGCAAGCTCATTGAAGTCGCTGGCCCGAGACCCGAAAATGATTTAAACAGAAGCACCCACGGAATAAATATCAACAAAATCTGGCTTTAACGTGGGCGCTTCAATGAGCTTCGATTTATCTTCCCACACCCTTCCCTCTTCTGTTGGCCTTCCCTTTTCAATTGAAGCCCGCATCCTATTACAAGCATATGCTTTTAATTAGTTTTCCAGCTAATTGCGGGCGTGTATTTGCCTTAGTTCCAGTCCAAGTATTTATTTTACCGAGAAACTCCCCGCTTTCATCTCTGTCCCTGCGGAATACCTCATATACTTTACTACCTTACTATATCTATATCTATATCTAAATCTAAATCTATGACTTTATCTGTGTCTATGTCCTATCACCAATTCGTTTGTATGCCAACACACACTAAGTCTGTCTAGCTACTCTCGTACCACATAGTCTTAAGATAATCTGTTGGGGGTGTGGCTGCATGCAACACAGTCTTGCTCAGTCGAATCGAATGACTAATATTCTCGATTCTCACCTGTCCAGACGACGACATGGCAGCCCAAATCAGGGCGGTGGAAAAGAAGAATGCAAACGAGCTGACCGAACTGGATCGCATCCTGTTGCTGAGCAAGCCAAGGACCGGGGAGCTGTCCACCGCAACCATACGCATCCGAGAAAGCCAGGAATTTAAGGTAAGTCAGACAGGCACTGTGTCCCTTTGACACTGATACATTGCCCCGAAACGGCTCCACAATGCAAATGAAAAGCAATCCAATTCACTTGTCGGCCAACTGACGACTATGACAACAGCAGTCCCGAACCCAATCCCAAACCCAATCCCTGCGCCCATTTACATGCAGACACGGATAAGTGAGTGCGTGCGCCGGACTGGCACGCCCGTAAGCGTAATGAATCCCCCGAGTGGCGGGCGGAGCAGTCCAGTCGCCAGATCGAGTTACCGTTAACCGCTCAGGTGCAGGGCAAATAAGCACCTAATTGTGTGCAAATCTCTAAATGACACGTTGAGTGTCCTGTTTGCTTTGTGTCTGTGTGTGTTTAATGGGCTTGTGTTCATTGTTGCTCGGTGGCGTATACTTAATGCGAGCACATAAAAAGTTGTCCATCAATCTGGGGACTTTGTCTCCCCTTCTGAGGTCTGTCCATTGCGAGTTTTTACAAACAGCTCCACGAAAAACTTCTGTTGGTAAACTTGAGTTTTATTTACTCTGTTACTGATACTCTACTAATTTTCTTGATTGACTTACTGATTGATAATCTTGTCCCTGTAAAAAATCCATTATTTAATATTAACACACATTATTAGGCGCTTAAAATAAATAAAACTGCTTTGAATCCATAAAATTGTAAGCTTCAAGTAATAAAACTCTCTCTACACAGGCTACAGTCGACAAACTGGTGGCCAAAGCGAACGTCTCCGCTGTCCTCGGCACATCCTCCTGGAAGGAGCAGTTCAAAGATGCCCTCACCGTCATTCCAGGTAGACCAGACTCGATTTTCCACACTCAAAGCATTGCTTTTCATGCAAACAAACCCTTGTAGCCGACGAAAGTGAGTTCGACCGCGACGACGACACCTTGGAGGAGGTGCCCAGCTGCTTCAACTACATTAGCCACTTCTTCTGCCTCTTTTGGAAGGTAATATTTGCATTTGTGCCGCCCACAGGTAAGCATTCCTCCTCGCCTTCTCAGGTGACAAAGCCCCTGTTACTAACCACTGGCTCACCCACAGACATTTGCGGCGGCTATGTGACCTTTGTGGTGTCCATAGTCGTTATTGGCGTCATCACCGCCATCATTGGGGACGCCGCCTCATACTTCGGCTGCACTCTCAATATCAAGGACTCGGTTACCGCCATCCTGTTCGTCGCCCTGGGCACCAGCATACCAGGTAGGTGATCCGGAATCCGGCCTCCGGTTTCAGCACTCTCACCTGACACCCAATTCCCTCTCGACTTGCAGACACATTTGCCAGCATGATAGCGGCCAAGCACGACGAGGGAGCAGATAACTGCATCGGAAACGTCACGGGCAGCAATGCGGTTAACGTATTCCTGGGCATCGGCTTGGCCTGGACCATCGCAGCCGTATACCACAGCTCGCATGGCATGACGTTCAACGTTGAGCCTGGAACGTAAGTAATCCCTAGCCAATTATGGAAGATAGTCCTTGTCAAACTAGGAACCAATGAATAAGAAATGATCCTTCTATACTCCAGAGACATTTTTAATCTTGTTCCTTTGTTGATAATTTGTTCTAAAATATAAGTGGAAAATATTGAAAATTGAAATTGATACGAATTCAAACCATTTTCCTTACAGAATCGGCTTTGCTGTGGCGCTATTCTGCGGCGAGGCCCTGATTGCCGTTCTCCTCATCATGGTTCGGCGCTGTCACAAAGGCATCGGCGCGGAGCTGGGCGGCCCAAAGGTCTCAAAGTACATCAGCGCAGCGATCCTCGTATTCCTCTGGGTCTTCTACGTGGTCATCTGCATATTGGAGGCCTACGACATCATCCGCGTCTAAGGAGCCCATTGCTCTGGCCGCATTTGGAGCGGGCTCTGTTCGCATTGTTCGCATTGGCGTTGGAAAGAGTTTGAGAATAAATTTATATGTATCTTATGTAAAATTTATGTTAATACTAAAAGTAAAATTGTATTGTTAAATAGGTTTAAGTCAGGCTTACATACATAAAACAACAAATTTTTACGATTACTCACTCTATTGATATATGAATTGTAAATACAGAAATGCTGCCACGGCTCAGCAATCTTGTAATTGTAACGAGATCATTTACTGTTATGCCACATATACTTAATTTACTATTAAATTACGGTTATCTTTATTGTATCATTCTGTGTACAACTTAAGTCATTGTTGTTGTTTGTTAAAGCTGTACTCAATCCACTTAATCGAAACCCAACCCAAGCAAGGGGCCGGAAGCCCGGGCTCCGGGACCCCACAGTCCCGACTAGATATTATCTCTCCATCTGCCGAAAACCATTGTTAATTTAATACATGTGTAAGTTTTAAAGAAATCCAAGGGTATAAGCCCAGTCCCCCTTAGCCATCTAACACACTTACTACAAATACTGCAACTACTACTACTACTACTACTACTACCAAATAGGAGCCTCGTCAACAACTAGTTCTAGTCACTTCACACTATCGACACGAGTCCAACTAGCTGCGACATTTTCATAAACTCTGACCAAGGCAAATGGCGGCACTACTTACTTACTAGTACTAGCGATTAGCGAGAAAGACCATCAGTGTTTCCACTCTGCACTACCAGAACGGGAACGAGAACCGGAACAAGAACAAGAACAAGAGCACTAATCAATTTACTTAAAAAAAAGACTTTCAATTTGCTTATGTCGCTGGCAGTGATCAAACGTAATCGAACGAAATGTAGAGAAACAGAAACTGGATATTAAGGCAAACACCAAACAAAAACAAAACCGAAATAACTAGAGTTGATCGTAATCAAAATGTAACGGGCAGGTGGTACATATTTTTTGTATAATGTTGTACTATTTTTCATATAGCAAAATTCTAGCGAATGAGAATGGAGGAGGATTAGGTAACCTAATGATATTTATAGCCACATGCATAAATTTGTATTATATATTTGGGGTCACACAACTGTACGGGGACTTAATGAAGAAACTGCGCCAAATTTAGTCGTAATTGATAATTAATTACCGCATACATATACGATCTATGAAACAATTTAATAAATATACAAACAAGAATGAACAATGTATTAAATTATGCCATCAATGTTTACCGCTAGACAATGTAATTAAATTTCTTTTTAAATTTATTTCCCTTAAGCCTTTTCATTTCCGTTTTTGAATCGAAATTACGACGATATCACTGTGCGTTGGTTATAGATCCGGAAAGGACCTTCAAGAAATATAACTGCAGTTAACAGACCAGGAGTCAGGGTAAGCTTGAGGCCATATATCCAAGGACATGAGGAAATCAATATAGTGCAGACGCATATAGGAATAGGGCGAATAATGAATGGAATAGAAGTGCCGAACCGCAGTGAAGGTAACAATACGACATAGAGGATAACCAGATATATACATATATAGAGACAATTACCTATAGACGATTATCTTTAATGGCAAAGGCAAATAAATCGAGTAAAGTGCTTCCGACATAGGATGTAGGTGTATGTACTTCTAGAGAACTAGGAGTAGACAGCGTATCTGAATAGAAGCAGCGGGAGCGGACTACTGCAGCAATATCCATTGGTTTTATATTCTTTTACTATGCTTTCGATCAGTTTTGATTCGGCTTATCCGTTCCATAGATGTACGATAGTTGATAGCATTCGAATCTGTATGTTTTGATGGGCAGACCGCCAAATAATATGTATGTATGTGTATTGTACAATATTAATCATTTGTTGTTTCTTATCGTGTATTTTCGAATTCAAATAATATCTACCTACTGCATTTTTACATGTATACTTATGAATGTGATTTTACCCTAAACTAAACCGAAAACCAATACATACTCGAGCATCCAGAACCCCATTTAAATGTATCCAGAGCGTAAGCCGATAAAGTATGCAATTATTCGAATAGATCGACTACCACATATGTACTCGTAGTTTGTGTAGCATATGCTTGGGGTGCAGATCTATCGATCTCACCAACCGTAACTCTTTTCTCACTTCAATACGCTATAAGAAAATACCCGAACGAAAGCTACGCATTTGAATATACTCACTATGAGAACATACCCGAGAACTCGAACTCGAACTCGTACTCGTTATCGTACCGCAAGGCAACAACGAGGTAGCAGAAAGCTTAACGTTTTACCTAATCGAATAGAGCGCCTAGGGCCCTAGACTTACTGGCATCTCTCGGCAGAGCAGTGCCGCATACGTATATATGTATTCCGTGCATGTTTACCAAATGAAAACGAATAAACTACACTTTAAACCGAGCCAGGTTTTTCATTTTCGCATTTCCCGAAGCCGAGCGTGGGTCTTATCACTATGGGTAACTGGGGGATGGGGGATTATGCAATGCCCCAAAAAAGCGCCGCCAGATAAGGAAGCTGGTTCTGATTCTGGTTGCGGAAGATGAGCGGAGAGACACCGCTACGCTACAACAGGCGGCGAGATAAAGTTGTTTACAGGAATCCGAGCACAAAGGCAAACAGCAATAAAGCAATGAGACAGCCCCGGCTGCAAGCTAATTAAAGTTGCGACAAAGCGGAGGCCAGTCGACAGTCCCCAGTTGTCCGCCAGTTCTCGTTCTCCACGGAGTAATTCCCGACGAATTGCACAGCTTGAAGTGTTTGCACTTTTTGGGACCCCCGCGAGACAAACAAGTAAGCAAGGCAAGGATGCCCAGCCCATAATACCCTTTTAATGACAACTTCTCTCTGGATTTACTAAATGTAAAATCGTTTCTTTTATTATCTATTATAGATATCGATGTGAAAACATCAAATTCATAATCAAGTCAATATTTATTCGAAGCTTCGAGCCGAATATACCCCACTTTTTGCTCTATTACGCGGGATACATCAAGGCAAATATGTCCTGCAACGAGAAGACAGCGCTGCTGGCATCGCAACAAGGACACCAGCAGCAGCACATTATTGTCGTGCCTGCAACGCGGAAGGGTCCAAAGGATTATGAGCCCATTTTCACAACTGCTGAGTAAACGCTTTCCGTCGCATTTCATTAAAAAATAACTTCGTTACACGGCGTTTTCCCATTGTCCCTTCCCTCCTTGTTAGCTACTCCTACGGCCTGACGCTGGATGAACTGTTGCCCTTCGCCCTGGATCCCTGGTGGCAGAATGTGCGGCGCCTCTGCTGCGGCGGCCTGGGGCTTGTCTTCCTCCTCACCCTGATTGCTGGCCTGGCTCTGGCGTATTTCGACACTGTCTGTCCGCAGAATAGAGTAATTAGCCGAAACATCACGACCACGACAACACTATCAACGCCGCTGGCCCTGGTCTCTTACGGCAATCCTTGAAATTCCTTCTACTAAAACTGTCGTTGTCTTTCATGACTTACGTACCACGCCTGCGCGGACGCTAGGCAAAGGTAGAAACCGCCGAAGGAATTATTTTTAGTCCTGCCATTATTTTGTTAATATTTAAGAATATATTTATGTTTTTGTATATATATTAAGTATATGCAGCTGCGATAAGCGTTACCACGCGGAACCGTTTGCTTACAGTCTGATTGCTGATTATTACTTGCTGTGCCAAATATGTACAGATATTATATGTATTATTTCACCACAAAAATAAATCATTACTTATGACCTACACCAAATATTTTTCCGAACATGTACACATATGGACACAATAATAATTGTAATTTTTTTTTAAGATATCGAAAATCTATATAAACCCCAAATTATATAAGAAAGTTATACTTTTCTAAAGAGATTACACTATTTTGGTCCTTAATGATTTGGTGTTTCTCATAAATAAATATAATAATAGTAAGGAATCGGGGATAAGGGTAAAATAGGACAAGTTTAGTTAACAGAAGATAAGGAGAACAACAGAAATAAAGGAAAAGAATTAAAAAGAATACAGAAAAGAAGATGAAACAGAAACTAAGAGAATTCAAATTCCAAAGACAGCGCGCGCGCATGATCACGACCAGGCACACTGAATCGTTCTGTGGCTGGACACACCAATACGGCCAAGTACAGAAGCGGCCACGGGCACACTAGACCACGACAGGCCCATATAACTCATACCAAGGAACTAAACAGCAGTTTGCGATCGAGTACAGAAAAAGCTCCCGGATCAGACGACAAAAATGCGACAAGCTGCGGAAGACCACCTAAGCTGTGACGGATTCCAGATCGTAGCAAGAATTGAAATCGGAAACAGAACAGTACAAGGAGTGGTGGATACAGGGTCATCAATGAGCGCAATAAGCAGCAACATGTTCCAGGATCTTAAAGAGCAAGGAAGATGGTGGGGAACAAGGACAGAAATCACGCTCGCCAACGGCTCCCGGCAAACAGCGATAGGAAGATTTACGGCAGAGATTGGATTCAGGGGAAGATCATTCAGCATAACGTTCATGATCTTAACAAAAGTATCCGGAGAGATTCTGTTAGGTATGGACTTCCTAGCGGGAACAGGCAGCACATTGAGGTGTGGCGAACTGGAGCTGGAGATAAGAGCGGCCGGAAAGGAGGAGGAACGAAGATACACGGAAACAGAGAAGCAGGAAAAACCGTCCTATGAGGAGTTACAAGAATTTCTAGACGAAAACAGAACAAACAAAAATGCGCCAATTCCAGGAGAGTGCCAGGCGGTTCAAGAAGAGTCACGCGACAGCAGCACTGGCAGTAACACGGGCCTAGCTAGTAGAGGCACAAGCGACGCCGGAGACACCGAGGGAAAGAACAAGCTCGGGTGGATAGTGCCGACAGGAGCCCGACTGTCTGAAGCTTTGATGGAGCGGATTCGACGGAAGCTAGTAGGCAAGAGGACGACAAAGCAGAAGCGCTGGCTGGAGAAGGACGGGGATTCAATGTGGCGCGTCATCTCCAACCGTGGGAACCACGTGACAATTCGGCGCCATTTCCCAAACGGGGGACCACCCTAGGCCCTATGTTAAGCAGGCCGCAGCCCATAGCAAGGCACTTAGGAGCTGATTGCGATCGGGTATAGAGGCAAATCCCCAGTGGTTACCAGCTAAATTCAAATTTTGGTTAAGATCGGTAATTCAGGGTCATTCAATACATTTTAGTTTGCTCCCAGTAGTTTTTCCCTCTAACACTCTTAAATCTCCCTGCTGTTTTTCGAGTCAACAATTACCCCTCTCTGCTGTCTTTTGAGTCCGGCGATAATCGTGCACGTGAGGTACGGAACTAGCAGCATCCCGCCGAGTTGATACGCATCCGAGTCCCGACCACACATCTCGGAAGTAGAATAGGAAGCAGAATGTAACCGTTACGATTAATAAACAGACCTAGTTATACTCTTTACGGCATAAACCAGCTGCGTTCTCCTTGGGAAATCGGGTCGGGGATCTCTTACAGCAACCACGCCTGAACAAAATTAATTATATAAAAACTAAGAAGAGATTTATACAAAATACATATATTTATATATTACATTTCAAAAAACCTATTTTTTAAAATGGTATTTACATTTTGGATTTTAAATATCTAATGTAATGGTAGGTAGGAAGTAGGTAACCAAAACATTCATTACATTTACCTAAACATTTTATATTTACAGCTTTAAAGTTACAATTTTACAATCACAGTCTGCATCTACCGATCGATGTTAAAAAACATTTTTTTTTTAACGTTTCTATGGCAGCTATATGATATAGTCGTCTGATCCGGCCTGTTCCGATTCATATAGCAGGGATAATTTGAAACAAATACGTTCAACCCGTTTAAAAAAAAACCCTGGAAAATCTTTAATTAGACCCGTCGAACGCGTGGATTAGTTGGTCAAACTTAGCCATTCAAGACTTTCAAGGCGATTAACAACAAAATTTTGCAAATTTTGTAATAGCAAATCTATCAGTTACGATTGTTCGCAGCGTTCCCTTGTTAAGGTCAATAAATTTTCATTTGAGGAAAACATTTTCATAAAACTTGTGTGGACCGCTGTGTGAGGAGAAATTCTGTAATATCCTCCAAGATTGAAATTTTATGGGACTGCATTTCATGGTTTTGTGTTTGTTCAGAACACCGTATTCCCCGAATTAAGCATAGATTTGTCTTTAAAAAATTATAAGAGAAGGTAATGCTATCATATACCAAAGTTAATATAAAAGTTTTATGGAAGTTCCAGCAAAATAATGGTCCGATAAGTTAAGGATTGGATATGAGAGCAAATTATATACTTCTTTGAGTAATAAAGTCAATCCATGGGAACCAATCTAAAGAAAAATCCTTGAGGTGATCTCAAAACAGTGGTAGGGAAAAACTAAATACATATGCAATTTGGAATATTGCCGAAAAACAACGTTCTATTTGAAACATGTTGGTAGTTAATATCTGTAAGCTAAGGACAAAGATGAAAATCCCGCAAAACAGTGTCAGATATTCCGGAAATGAACTGTCATATACTCAATTTAATCGAATCCTAGTCTAAAACTACGAAAAAAGTGACTCAATTTAAATATTAAGCTTTGTACACCTATTACTTTGCGCAGACATATTTAGCGCATTTTACGAAATATTATAATTTTTTTGTTTGTTTGTAAAGCGGTATTTAATTTTGTTTATTATTGATTATTTTTCGTACATAAAATTTGATTTGCTGAGGATAATGAAGAATTAGAATTAAAGAATACGGTCACTTTTAATATAAGTTGCCTAATAAAAATCGATACTATCGATAGTGACGATAGTGGTTAACAGAACCTTGCGAATAAAATGGTTAACAGAACTTTGCGAATGCAATGGTTAACAGAATTTGGCGAATGATATGGTTGTTCCCAAGTTAGGGGCTTTCCCCCTATTTTTAAGGTTTTTCTTTTAACTCGTATAAATTCTATTAATACAAATCATGATTTACTAAAAAATCGCAATTTCGGGCACCGGTACATGATGAAACCGATGCTACTTAATTATGTCGCTTTTAACCTTACCCTTTTCCAATAGCTCCGTTAAAAGATCATTTTCTGTATTCAACAAAAAATAAATTAAGAAATAAAATAGCAACTAAAACCGCAGATACTCTTCTACACACTAACTTTATCCAACAATTGCAACAACCAACTGAACAAATGTACAAACTTTTTGTGAACGAAGTTTACAAAACCGATTTTTTAGAAAGTGTTCTCGATGCACAAGTATAAAAAAACATTAAAATAAATTAACAACTATACATAGCTTCCATATATTTTTGAAATTAACAGATTTTTTAAATTTAGTGGCAAAACTGGATTTTTTAGGGGGAAACTTCAACTTTTTGAGATTTTTTAGGGGGAGAGCCTTACGTGCATCTGGCAACACTAATCTCGCCGCCGATTCCATTATTATTCTATGTTTATAATTTTAAATTAATTTAAAAGTATTTTGTCATGGACTTCGATAGTCCGGAGGAAATTCAGGAGTTTCCCGGCCTCTATGCCTCGGAGGCGGCCGATGCCAGGTCGAAGAAGAGCAAGGAGGAGAGCGATTGTAAGCGAAGTCCATTGTCGTGGGCGTTGGGAAAATCAATAAACTTCCCTGCTTCGCAGTTAGCGAGGATCACGACCACAGCAAGAAGGACCTGTTGATTGGCCGGCGCAAGGACAAGAAGGAGAAGGGCAAGGACCGGGGCTACGCCGCCCTGGAGGGCGAGAGTTCGCCCGAGGAGGAGCTGGACACCAAGTATGCCACGAGCGTGAGTTCTGCATATAAAGGCAAGATTAACTCCTATACTCTATCGCAGAAGCCCGTCCAAATCCAAGAAGTCCAAGACCTTCAAGTTCACCAGCTCTAAGAGCAAGGAGAAGCGCGAAAAGTCACGTGATAAGGAAAAGTCCGAGCGGGAGACTAAGCACGTCGAGGAGGAGCCACCGGGCAAGGAGCACAAGGCCAAGGAGAAGGACAGGGACAAGGAGAAGGAGAAGGAAAAGGATAGGGAGCGGGAGGAGCAGAAGAAAAAGGACAAGAAGGAAAAGGGCGACAAGAAGGACAAGGCCGAGAAGAAGGACAAAAAGGACAAGAAGAGCAAGCAGCTGTCACAGCAGCTGGACGAAGCAGAGGCAGAGGAGGTGCTGGCCCTGGGCTATCCCGTCTTCGGCGTCTCCGTCAGCCTGGCCACTGAGCGCTCCCGTTGTCACGACGGCGTGGATCTGCCGCTGGTGGTGCGCGACTGCATCGACTACCTGCAGGATCACCTGAAGTGCGAGCAGATATACAAGATTGAGCCCATCAAGACGCGTCTGATGCACTACAAACGGTTGTACAACAACCGGGAGCACGATGCCGCCGTTGATGAGCTCAATTTGCCCACCGCCTGCAGTCTGCTGAAGCTCTTCCTGCGCGAGTTGCCGGAGCCGGTGCTGACCACTGACCTGGTTGCCCGCTTCGAGGAGGTGGCCTCGCACCCGAAGGTCACCGAGCAGCAGGCAGAGCTGCAGCAGCTGCTCGAGCAATTGCCCAAGTGCAACCGCACTCTGTTGGCGTGGGTGCTGCTCCACTTCGACGCGGTGATCCAGCAGGAGCGGTACAACAAGCTCAACGCCCAGTCGCTGGCCATGCTGCTCAGTCCGACGCTCCAGATGTCTCACAGACTAATGGTGGCCCTACTCTGCCACTGCAACAGTCTGTTCGCGGACGTCAAGCTGATAAAGTGAGTTGAAGTTGAGGTTTATTTACTACGTTTTCTGCTTCTTTTTTCGGTTTTCGCATTTGTTTATGTATTTTATCATCACCGCTTGCCTTAGATAAGATTCCGGCCGTAACAGCCGCAGATTTTAACAGATTAGTTTGCTTGCGAACGACCATGAGCTCGGTATCCCGTAAACAGAAGCGGCTGTCGTGCTTCGCCAGCCTCCTAATTAGGCAGAGGCAAATATTAAACACTGCGTAGGCGCTTTACTAACAAACTCTTCATCTTCTAGGTATGTGCCGCCCCTAACGTCGGCCAGCCCCAAGCTTCCCGATCGCCCGGAGGAGATCCAGGTGGAGCTGCGAAAGCAAGACAGCCTCTTGGCTCAGATCCACAGCGAGATGAACGCCGGTTTCATCACCAAAAAGCGAGAGGAGCAGCTCTGGGAGGTGCAGCGTATCATCACCCAGCTGAAGCGCAAGCTGCGTACCTTTGAGAAGAAGCAGGAAAAGTCTGCGGAGGACGTGGAAAACAGCAGCATGCCGCGACCCGCCCCGGAGGGCGAGGACAGAACCGATTCCAAGCCACCACCAGCAGCGCCCCCCGTAGTTGCCCCTGCTACCAACAGTATTCCCTCCGAGGAGCCCTCGAATCCCAGTCCCACAGACTTCACCATTGATCCCTCCACGGGCTTCATCGTGCTGCCCAGGTCGAATCCTCACCGCGACACTTTGCTGCGACTGCAGATCGAATACGACGAGCTGATGGACTGGGAGAACGAGCTCAAGGCCCGCATTCTGGCCGAACGGAATGAGTGCTACAGGCTGAAGCAGCTGTGCGAGCAGCAGCAGGCACTCAACAGCCAAGCAGCGGCAACTGGCACGGAGCCAGTGCCTCCGGCAGAGGGAGACTATGAGCGGATAATCGAGCACTACACGCGGGAAAACGCGCTGCTGGAGCACAAGAAGCAGATGCTCGGCATGGAGCTGAAGGAGGAGCGACGGGCGTGCATAGCCCTGCAGGTGGAACTGCGTCTTAAGCAGTTTTAATTTGGTAAAACATAAGCTAGAATGGGTCGATTCTTAGAGAAGTCAGAGCTCAAATGATTTTGAAAAGGACAACAACGACTGTTTCGGCCGTTAATTTGATCTCCATCAGCTTTTGGGGGACTTAAAACTTGCTGACAATTCCTTTTGAGCCCTAAAGGGTCAAACGTAAGGATGTGAGATATTAAATATCGAAATCATGAACAAACTATTTAAATGTAAAAAATAAATATTAGATGGAGAGTAAAGATATTCAATATCACTCGCAAAAAGCAGGTATTTAAATGCTTGGAAGATCTTTGAAACAGTAGGCTGTTTACCACAAAGCGGGCTGTCTTAGGAAGATAAAGGGGATTATACTTTCTACGTAAAATAAAAGTTAATTTCCCACGCTGTCCTGCCACTCTGCTTAAAATATTTATCGAATGTACATTAATTGGCAAACATACTTTACAGATTAAAAAAAAAAATGGATTTTAAGCACAGTTTTAAAATTACCTTAGAAAGTATAATTTTCCCTAGACTTACCAAGACTTTTGTTGGGTGATTTGACTGCAGCTGCCGATGCCGGTTGCTTTTAGAATCGACCCATTCTCCAACATGGGTTGAACCACTTTAAATCTCAGTGTCTACATATGATCAAATGCTTTGTTTTAAATAAATGTGCTTAAATGTTAAAAAAGGCCCTGGCCTGAAAAGCGAGAATAAGATGTTTTACTGTTTATTTTTTAGTGAAAAATATTATCGTGGCTAACTTCACATTCTTACAGGAAGAGAGCGCAAAAATCGTATATTTCTTAGACTTGTCTTTACATTTATCGTTTTATACTAATTATTTAATTTTATATAGTATATAATACAAAATAGACAAGAATGGAAGACAATTTCGGAAAGCCGAAGTGTGCATACTCTTCAGTCTGCAATTTGATCACAAGATTAAAATCGATCATAAGAAAGCCAAAAATTCACTAATTTCGATTGGAAAGCCTTCTTTCTTTCTTCTTTTTCTAGGTTAACAAATTTATTAGGCTTTAAAATTTTAAAAATTTTAATCATTTTTGTCATGATAATATGTTTTGATAACATAGATTAATTAAAGATATTTTTCGATATTTTACGATACTTTCTATACATTGAACTTATCCGCTCAAAATACCTACCTAGTTTAGTCTGCGACCAGGTGACAGACACACCCTCTCAGCTCATCTCAGCTGCTTCATATTTTTGTAATTTCCTCGACTATCTGAAACCAATTTTCTAAATCGGGCTGATGACTTAATTCCGATTCGAGCAATACAGGGCAGAGATTAGAAGATCAGGGTGCCGGTGGCGTATGTAGACGTCGGATTGATTGTTCGCTGGGGTAAAGCGGAAATGAAATCATCGCTTATTACGTCGCCTCATAAGAAATTGTGATGGTCAAGGAAGCCACATTGTTGAGTGGTGCGTGTTATGATTACTTTATTTAATATTTAAAATTAATAATTATAGAATACATTATAATTATGCATTACGACGTTCGGGGCTGTTCCGTATTCCGCTGAAGTACAACTTAAAAATATCACACACAAATACCACGCGAGAAAGAAGAGTCCTCCGGCATCTCAAACCACGTGCACTCGTTCTCCTTCATGATTAAGTTCTTTCCGGACTGCAATAGATGGATCGAAGGCTCTACGGACAATCCTTTTCGCTGATCTTTTGAAAGCCTGCCAGACGGAATAAATGAATGGTAATGAAGATTAAGTAAAGTGTTACCATTTGAAGGATTAATTTAAAGGAATACCTACATATTAATACTGGGGATTATAATAAATGCTTTCACACTCACTTGTATTCTGCAGGCAATTCTCCGTCTTCATAACGCACAGATTCCGGAAGGTCCTGGTTGTGCCCTTGTCATCCGCGGCACAAATCGCTTTGAACTCCGTTGTGTCGCACTCCATGGCACACTTGGCGTTCGGATCGGGCAGGCTGAGGCACTGGACCAGCGTCACGGCGTACAAAGCCACTGCATAAATATAGACGTTTGGTTCGTATTAGTAGGCAGGAGGCGTGCGAAGAGAATCACCGCCCAGTTGACCGGACCCGCATACAAAGTGCTCTGATCAACCAGCCCGGCACATGATATCACCCACATCCCCACCATAGGCAGTGTACGCCCATCGATTCCCCACGACGCCAGAGCGTCTGGCACTGCCAGCGCTCTCGTTCCAATGGCCCAGGGAGGTTGGAGTGCTGGGACCCGGGCCAGCAATTGGAATCGGTGGTTAGCGCTGCATGCCTAATTAGCCAAATCGGCGAATCTGCGTTGCGGCCAGTCCCCGATCTAATGACTCAGTCAATGCTTGAAATTTTCCATTCACAACTTTGCGACTGCATCTGAATGAAGTTAATTCTGCTCGTAAAAGGTGTTTCTTATACCGCCCCTCCTGCCTATTAGTTACATTCAAGTTGTCGCTGTTTTTTAGTGGGTCACATTCTTTCCGTTCTGACGCAGAGTTCCTAATCATTATTGTTTCTTATTTACAAGATTAATAGCAAATACATGAGTCAGCAATGTGAGACATATTTATAGGGAAAATATGTGGTCTATGGTCTGATTTTAAAAAATTGTCATTAAAGCAAAAACCACATTTTAAATAATTGCAGCATTTAAAAGAAAAAGCACTTGAACAAATTAAAATATATTGATAACAATTCTAGGAAACATTTCTCGGACTTTAAAATTGATTGATTTAAAACGAAGGAAATTCACTTGAACTATATCAAATATTTCTTCAAAAAAGAAACTAAAACCCACCCTTCACAACCCTTATAAAACTATTGTTTTATATATATCTTCGAGTATTTTCAAGTGTTTTACGTACATGCCAGCAATACTGCAAACAGCTTCATTTCGCTACTTATTACTTCCGATGGCGGTGGGACGATACTTCTCACTTCAACTATTTCCGAGCACACTCGGCTTTGCACAACCGTATTCGCTCTGCGTGAACCTTGCGGGTCAGACGAATTAATTATGCCGTAGTTGGGTGCCGCTTGGTTGCGAGTTGATTAAAAACGTTTTACGATTTCACGATTTGTATATAGACTCAATGGAATATATATTCGCTAGATTTGGGGCTTGTCACTGAACTCCGCACACGTGTGCCCGCCAGTGTTTTGGTTCTTGATACGTTTATAGATTTATTCGCGCACGATTTTGGATCCGATCCGACTCTCTCTCTATCGGCGAGGCCGCACAGCACGCGTCCAAATGCGAACTGAGACTGAAGGCGCCGACCGAAGATATCCTCCTCCAGCGGACGAGTGGGCGAAGCGAAGCGATGCGATTGACTAACTGACTCGGTGACTCGGTGACTGATTGATGGCTTGGCGGCTGGACGTTGGTTATTGGTGGTTGGGATTGGGATTGGGATGCTGTCCCCGTCCGCTGTTAGATATGGACACGATATGGATGACGATGCTGGTGCAGTTTGATTTTCAGTTTCGAGTTTGGTTTGGGCTTGGGTTTGGGCAGGAGTTGGGGCCCTGGATATGGCTCTGGCTCTGGCTCTGGCAATCAATCAATCAGGCAGGGCAGTACGGTGCGGTTCTGTGCTCTGCTGTGCTTGCGTTGTGCTGTGCTGTCCGACCCACCGGCTATCTGTATCTGTATCCGTATCTGTATCTGTAGCTGCCGTCTGCCGTCGTAGAGCACGAATGATGTCCGACCACACAGTGCCTGTTAGTTTTATAGAATTTTTTCATGCTAAAAAGATTTACGCTCGTGTCGTCGTCTTCAATTTTCTTTTTGTTTCTCCGCACATTTCGCCTGTAGTTGTTTCTGATTGTTTTTTCTTTTTATTGTATTGGATTTTTTCTTTGTGGCATCAGCATCGACAGCAGCGGCGACAGCGACGTCGGAGTATTGTATTTGCGGCTGCTGGAACACCGAAATCGGATGGATCGTTTGATCAATAACTCTACAGGCTGGTCACGTTGTCGAGGTCCAACTTGCCAACCGCTGCCGCTGGGATTTTTGTGTTTGAATTATTCATGTATTCCATGCAGTCACTGAAAAGGTCTCTCCTTCTCGCTTAGCGTACCGCTCGATACTGAGATGCTCGGGATGCTGCGGCATCTTCGAAAATCTTCGAAAATTTCGTCAGCATAACCGAGCCGCCTCGGCACCCGGTTATCAACGCGATAGAGAGGGAGAGAGAGGGAAGTCGAAATACTAAATAAATAAAAATCAGAGCAAAAAATGTGAAAATTGTTTCAGTTTGCGACGGCCACGAGTTCACTCCACTCGCCAATGTCTATGAGTTTTCTTTGATGATGCTGCTTCCTCGCCTACATATAGTATACGGACGGTATGCTCGTTATTTATGGATACGCGACGCATTTGATTTTTGATTTAGCATTTTCATTAACATTTTTGGGATTTTTAGACTTATCGGCTGCGTCGCAGGCGATTATCTCACCACAATTCATTCAATAATCGCTCTAGCAGCGGGCATTATTGTTCGACGACTCCTTATCATCGGCGAGAAGGTGGTTTCCATGGGGCTTTACCTACTGTATGTAAACAAAGGCAGGGTAAACAAATGAAGTCACTCTTACCTAGGCGAGAGGAGCTGGCCACAGTTCACAGAAACCCCAAACAAGTTCAGCATCCTTTTGCTTTTATGCTATGTGCGCCTAAGGCAGGTCTACTTAGGAGGTGTTTTATTATAAAAACGTGCACGTTTTAGCGAAGAAATCGAAAGTTAAACTTGGACTCTACTAAGAAAACTCGATACATTGATCTAACTTAGGCCTATTATAGTTCTACTGAGATGTCTTCCTAGGTGGTCCGACTAGAAAATGTCTACTGAATAAGCATACTACGGTACGTAAGGTAACTACGACTAGATTGGACTATTTAGGTCTGCAGGAGCAGGGCCACGCCGGCCAGAATCCACTTTCCCGGCTTGTCTTTGGTCTTCAGATTCAGGTTGGACACGTAGGTGGTGGGGCCCCGGGTGCGGGTCTTGTAGACCGGGCACTCGTACATGTTCCTCAGGTCTTGCTTATCTTGGGTGATTGCCTGCAATGGAATCGGAATCGGAATCGAAATCGGAATCGCATTAAGTGGAATAGTGGGGTGGAGTCTAGTTTCGAATTTATGCCAACATGCGCCAGCATCGAGACGCCACTGATCCGCCCTCGATTCGCCGGTTTTGCATTTACGCTCGCACCGATTTGCCTTTCAAACTCACCCGAATATTGATCACCGGCATGGAGGGGTAGAGCTCCTTGAGGCGCGACTCCATAATGATGCCCTGCTGGATGTCCCACCTGGCGCCCTCCATGAATATCCCGTGCACGCAGCAGCCGTCGCGCGGAGCCGTTCTGCAATTACAAGATCAGATCTCAGTCCCAGATCGTGGCTTGTGGATGATGCCAAGTCAATTAGAGAGGCGTCGGGCGTCGATGCTAATCTGGCATGCCCAGGGCAAGTACATGCCGCCGACGACGACGCGCCGGAGCCGGGGATACTCCATTGTTTGCCCGGCAGCGTCGCCAAGCGAAACGTGGCTGGCCGGGCGCCACTTAATAGGCAATCAGCTCATCAGCAAATAGACAATTGTAAATTACAGGCTATTAATAAGTCCCACATATTTGTGTTCCAAGCGCTGTTTTAAAATAGCTCTTATGAAATAGCACTGTGGCTATTTTTAGAGCCTGTCGCTGGCCATTGGCCGCAGCTGGATTTCCATACCAGCACGAAGCGATGATTGCTGGTTACTACATTACATTGAATGATTGACGCACTGGTCAGGGAAGATAAGACTGTAGCACTGGGCGGAGCTTGTGTTTGAATTCGGGAGAATTCGTAGGTACTTGAGGGAAAAATGGTGCTGATTAAGCCCTAAATAGATTTCTTATTAAAGAACATGAAATGTTTTTATATGGGAAGACAGTCGAGCGTCTTTAGCTTGGCTTCTGTGAAAGGCAGCTCAGGCTTCTTATTATAAACACCATAAGTATGAATTTAGGTATGTTTACTTTCTTATTAAGAGAGAACTGCCCATAGTTTCTGCTCGTTCTTGGAATCTGTGACAAATAGCGGACCGACGCAGAGATTTTTTCGCTCATGGCAGTGTAAATATTCTCGGAGGGGGTCACCTCAGGGGTCAATTGGGAATTGCGTGTCAATAAGACAATAAGGCACTCACGTAAATTCCTCCTTCTGCTTCTTGGTCACGTCGCACTGTAGGCACATCTTGTCCAGCGGCAGGTCGTTGCGGCGGGCGGTGCTCTGCATGATCGCCGTTAGCAGGGACTGCGGATTGAAGAAGCCGGCCAGCCAGACGCAGGAGGGTAGCTATCGGCCAAAATGTTAGATATGGATTGCTGGTACTGATACGCTTAAGCGGATTGCAGAGTACTCACCACGAAATCGGTGGACCAGGTCTCCAGCTCGCGGAGACGCAGGCACAGATCGATGAACCAATTGTTGAGACCCAAGAGCGAAGGATACGCACGTGACGTCCAAATGGGCGGCACTTGATCCAAAAACAGTGAATTCTCCAGCACCTCCATGTCCGATGTAATGGTCAATTCACCCTTTAAGCCCAAGTCCAACTCCTTCAGGCTGCGCTTCATCTCGCTGGTGAGGAAGTTCATGCGCTCGCACTCCTGAAAGGCCACTATCACATACGGCGTGCGCTCCTCCACCTTGTTCATTATCTCGACCATGTTAAACTCCTCCGGCAGCTTCTCGATGATCTCATCGACGATCTGTTTCACCTTGTCCTCGCGGGTCACCGTCGCCCCTCCGCCGGCCCCGGCGTCTCTGGGCTGCATTTCGAACACCGTCCGGAAGATGTTCTCCGCCCGGGTGGTGAGGAATCCGATCTCCGCATTGGGGTGCAATCCGTATAGGTACGGCGACTCTGCCGGCATCATCTCGTCCACATAGGTATGGTAGCCCTGGTAGTCCGTGTTGGGCGGCGCGGGAAATGAGGGCGCCAAGAACAGCTCTCCATCCACCAGATCCGGCTGCATGTACTCCTCCAGATAGGTGATGCACAGCCGCCGGTCCCAGTCGTCCGTGATGTGGCCCCCATACATAATCTCGCCAAACAGATAGCGCAGATCCTCCCACGGCACCTTGGCATTGGCCTCCAGGTAGTTGTACAGCACCGACACGCTGATGTTCAGATCGCCCACGTTGAAGGGGTAAATCTTGTTCCAGCCCTGGGGTCCGAACTTGCGCCGCTCGGCGACCACGGCGTGGAAATAGCACAGGGAGAACAGGATGGCCTTGAACTCGGCCTCCTTCCCGGACATTTCCAGGGTTTCCTGGGTGAAGTTGTCCAGGGCCTTGTGCAGGTTGGCCAGCATGCCCGTAGGTGGCTCGTTGGTGATCTTAATCGAGGACTCCAAAATTCCCTGAAACAAAATAGGTAAACTTTTGCGGATATAAGATTTAAGTGTGTATGTACCTGCGGTATAATATGTGCCGAGGGAGTGGATGCTGGCTCCGCGCTGAGGAACATTCTATAGTCCGGATGCGAGTCCTCGGCGTAGTACTCCAGCTTCTTCTCCAGCACTGGCAGCCACTTCCTGACCAGATGTATGTTCTGCAGCACCACCCAGTGGCCATGCTTAGCCGCCGTGTCCATAGCGGCCTCGGCAATGGCTTCCTGTCCCTGACCCAAAGACACATTATGGAAATTACCCAGATCCATGGTGAAGCCCATTTGTTTGCCTAAAGCCTCCACATCCTTGAGGGGATTAACGCCCGGCGACAGTATGAAGAATATGGGGGTGGAGGGACTGGCCTCCTCGTAGGACTTGGCAAACTCCATGGCACGGCTCTCCACATACTTGGATCCCAGCTTCTCCTCAATAAAGTCGCTGTTGGAAGGAATCTTCTTTGATATATTTATAATCAGGGTGTGTTGTCAGGAACTACTCACGCTAAGGCGTAGGTCATCCGGTCGGGCCTTAGAGCCCTGATCATACAGAGCCTCTGCAGGGCGGTCTTGTTTTTCCACTCCTGCGGGAACTTCTCCTTTTCCGGAAGCTCCGACTCGACCAGCTTCTTCCAGCGCTTCGAGGAGGTTTCTATGTCGCGGTCCAAGTTCCTGAATTCATCTTTGGACGCTAGACTGCAAATTCCGCCCCACGATTGATTGGTCAGAAAGTCCACAGGACTTGTCACATGTGGCTTGATCGGGAAGCGGAGTAGGAAGTCCAGTTCCGCCGATGTAACCTCCTCGTTCATAAGTAGGATCTGCAAAACAAACCGAGTTAGGTATGTATCCAAAAGGATTGAGGAGTAACACTTGCCTGAAATGTCATTTGCGAGGCGAAGATCAGCTTGTCGCATTCGAAAAGACCACGCGAAGTATACTGAAAGACCGAATACGTTATACAATCGATCAGGTTGGACACTCGCAGGTCCAAAGTTTCGCCCGGTTCAGCCTTGGCTATGGCCTTTTGGAACACTACACTAAAAGCCTGCAAGGAATGGTATTATACTAAGCATTTCGTTTGGGATATCAAGGTGAGATACCTTCAGTGAGAACTGATAGATCGGATTGATAGTGTTTAGTTCGTTGAGTATAAAGTAAAGGAGACTCGCTCTGGCAGCTGCTGGTCTGTAGTACTCGCGGGCCTTGTCAATCTCCTTGGACGTTATCTTCGCCTCGGCCACCTTCTCCTCGATCTCCGACGCCGTGCTCTTGGTGGTCTCCAGGTTCTCAACCAGCGCCGTGTCACCTAAAATATTCTCACCCGCCGACGAGAGGCGCGACAGCAGATCGTCCTCCAGTTTCTTCAGCATGATCTTGAAGTCGTTCTGCTGCTTTGTGAGATCTGCCTTCAGCTCCTCCAGGTCGGGCCGTTCCGCCTTCACAACCTCCGCCAGCAGTTGATCCTCGAGTCCGTCGCGTGTAACGGTAAAGTTAATAAGTGTGGTTTGTGCTTGCATCTCGGGTTTGTAGTGCGGATTAGCTAGTTTCGTGTGCAGAATCAAACGGAAGTTGGAGTTGTACTCGATCTCCTTGTCCCCTATTTTAATAGCCCTGGCAGGAGCAGATC